GCTAAATACGTAAAGACTGTGAAAATGTTTGCCTACCATTTGATTCAAAAATGGAATTCCGGCAGAAAGCCTGATATATAGTTCGCTAGAGGAGCTTCTGCTTTATTGAACTATATAAATCACTTTTTATGGGAGAAGCATTTGCTACGCAAATAGGAGGGTATGGGTGTGTGAGTGTCGATGTGGGCCAATCGATATACAAAAGACACCCACACTCACACCTCCCACCCACCCCAACGCTTGTCGATTCAGTGTCACTCCACCCGTGTATTGACTTTGTGTTGTTTTTCTTATACGTCGGAAAAAACCCATTGATGACAGTCACCAAAGTGCTCCATTCTCCATTTTCTTATCGAATATTTACCATACAAATGAAGGTTGCTATGTAAGTATGCTGTGCGCAAAGGCATCGACTATCCGCGAAAAAAAGAACAAAAGCATACACGTCAATCGACTTTTTTCTTTCTCTCTGTGAATGACTCCTGTGACACGAAGACATACTATATCATTGCTAAAGAATACAACAAGCGGGTGTGGAGTGTGGGTATGGGTGTGGATGCTGGATGTGGGTGCTAGGTGCTGGGTGCTGGGTGTGGGTGCTGGGTGTGGGTGCTGGGTGTGGGTGCTGGGTGTGGGTGCTGGGTGTGGGTGGGTGTGCACTGTAAAAAAAAAAGGTGTTTTACGAAATCAAAAAAGAATCGGCCCGCGGGCACACCGTCCGAACCTTTTTTGGTTTCGCAAAGAAAAGGTTTCGTATGAAACTTCTTCTTGATGAGTGGGAAAAATGGTTTCGTACACAAGATTCAGTACGAAACCTTTACTGGGAAAAGTCTAAAAGGTTTCGCACAAAAGGTTCGGTACCAAACTTTTACAAGAAAAAGCCAAAAAGGTTTCGTATAAAAGGTTCAGTACGAAACCCTTCCAAAATGATGTTCAAAAGGTTTCGCACAAATGGTTTCGTACGAATCTTCCAAGGTATTTACATCTAATAAGGTTGCCCTTGAAAATGATAAATCGGTTTTGAGTTGAGCCTCTCTGCATAAGGTAGTTATCGGTGAGATGAGGAAAATCCCCGAAGGATGCCTTGCATTAGCTCTTCTCTAGAGGATTATCCCTATGTTACTAGAATTTTAGTTGAATGCTAACGAAGAATCCTATTTAGATGTGAACTTGATTTTGAGTTCGAGCCGTTAGTGTCAGACAGTTGTGAGAGAAGTACGAAAAGCTCCAAATAAACGAGGGCTCATAAGTCTTCTCTCGAAAGTTGTAGCTGTTTTCTTTAAATTTGAACCAATAGTGCCGTAGATATCAGTAGGTGGAATGAGATTATTTCAATTTAAGAATTTCTGGACGGAGCAGTTCATTGATGAGGTGAATATCCCAAAAATTTTATCTAAAACCGATGCGCTTTTTGTCCGAAATGCTGAAGCTCAACAATGTAACTTGTATCTCACGAAAGATAATGAAATTTTGTATTGTTTGTGAACTTCAGCATTTCGGACAAAAGCGCATCGGTTTCAGATAAAATTTTTGGGATATTCACCTCATCAATGGACTGCTCCGTCCAGAAATTCTTAAATTGAAATAATCTCATTCCACCTACTGATATCTAAGGCAATATTGGTTCAAATTTAAAGAAAACAGCTACAACTTTCGAGAGAAGACTTATGAGCCCTCGTTTATTTGGAGCTTTTCGTACTTCTCTCACAACTGTCTGACACTAACGGCTCGAACTCAAAATCAAGTTCACATCTAAATAGGATTCTTCGTTAGCATTCAACTAAAATTCTAGTAACATAGGGATAATCCTCTAGAGAAGAGCTAATGCAAGGCATCCTTCGGGGATTTTCCTCATCTCACCGATAACTACCTTATGCAGAGAGGCTCAACTCAAAACCGATTTATCATTTTCAAGGGCAACCTTATTAGATGTAAATACCTTGGAAGATTCGTACGAAACCATTTGTGCGAAACCTTTTGAACATCATTTTGGAAGGGTTTCGTACTGAACCTTTTATACGAAACCTTTTTGACTTTTTCCTGTAAAAGTTTGGTACCGAACCTTTTGTGCGAAACCTTTTTGACTTTTTCCTGTAAAAGTTTGGTACCGAACCTTTTGTGCGAAACCTTTTAGACTTTTCCCAGTAAAGGTTTCGTACTGAATCTTGTGTACGAAACCATTTTCCCCACTCATCAAGAAGAAGTTTCATACGAAACCTTTTCTTTGCGAAACCAAAAAAGGTTCGGACGGTGTACCCGCGGGCCGATCCTTTTTTGGTTTCGTAAAACACCTTTTTTTTACAGTGCACACCCACCCACACCCTTCGTATCTTGTTTTTACAGTGCAGTATGCCTGACATTTTTTCAACATAGTGTAATAACACCGCCGACAAAGTGAAACAAATATCATACGATAAATTTATTCGTAGTTAGTAACAAAAATCTTGATGAAACACGCTGGTATAGTGATAAGCTTTCAGAGAAAATGAAATATACCAACTATATAGCATCTATTTATTCTAACAAAATCCTGACAATTTTATCAAAATGATAACCATCTTCGCTTCTATTTATCTTTTTCTCTGTTAAAATGCTACACAACGAGTTTTTCTTATTTTATTTATCTACGACCGTGAGATATCCGTTTTGGTGTTTATAACTACAGTATGGACACCCAATTAACTGAAAAACAAGTGTCGAAATCCGGTGAATTAACTGAAGTGACTGTGGACTCAACATCTGAAGTTAATTTATCGACTGTAATGAATAATACTTCAGAATCACAATCACAACTACAAAATACTGCAATTAATATAGATGATCGTTTTGGTCCTAGTTGTGCTTCTGTTTTATCGGATATCGAAATTTTTGACAATATAATTAAACGAAGTAAATGTGTAGATCGTTATCGACGATTGTACCTTTTTATAGGTTGTATTCCAACACTTATTATTACATGTTTAATATGGATTATATGGGCCTGTATAAATTGTGACGAGAACGTTTCTTTCTGTGAAACATCGCACACATTACATACAGTTGGTATTGTATTCGCTTGTGTCACTGCTTTGATATTCTTTTGGGCCATTTATTATGGTGCAAAACATTATATGAATGAACGAATTTATGCAATTTTACGGAATAATGTTCGTTATTTAATTAAACTTGAAGGTGAACAATGGATTTCATACGTTAATTATTTATACGGACCTGATCGTGCGAGTTTTATGCATTTAGGAGCTGTTGGAGCTTTTACATTTTGTTGTTGTCGTCGGCCACATTACCAACAATTGATTGAACGAGGTTATGGTTATATCGTCTTGTGTAAACATGGTTTCGTACTTGATGAAATGTTCAGTGTCGTTCGTAATGATACACACAACATTTTGAAAGTGGCACATCTTTTGGGTACAGGATTAAGGGTGTATCTTCTTCGAACGGACGCCAAAGTTTTGTTCAGTAATTATGACAGCATGGAAACACGAGCACGAAAAGCTCAATTAGCAGCCATTCAACAAACAACGCCATTGGATATTTACTTACCCAATACAATATCTGCAACTACAGCTGTTCTTCTCGCATTACAGATTGAACATGGAATCTAGATCATAACATTTTTTAAAGTTTTTTTTCTTTTAATAATAAACTACTTGATTCATTCGCTTAAATTTAGTCAATAACGGATTAGTAGAACGATGAGCACACGACTGTTTAGATCCATAATATGGATGTGGTCTTTTCTCGACTCTCACACTCACACCCTCAAGAAAAAAACTATCTTGAGGGTGTGAGGAATGTGAGTATATAGAATTATTCCAAGCGGTGAGAACAGCTGCCATAATCTAGATTTCGCTTCAGCTACGAAGCTCATCAGATGGCTTTATCTCTAATTTAATTCAATTTAAAGAATCAATTCGAGATAATTTACTATTTTTTTAATTATATATATTGTCTTGAGGTATTAACAAGTAAACTCAAAAGAAAATTCTAGTTTAAAACAATTAAGTAAAAGAAATAGACACTATGCTTACTTTTGATATTGTTTGCTATAGTAAATATTATTTGTATCATCTGTCGTCTGCAGCGACCTCTTTTTTTTTCTTTAATGTATTGACCATTTCATGACTCATCAGAATGAATCATAAATTGATTTGAATCAATGACTTGTGTATTTCGTTCGAATTAAAAGAAAATAATAATAATAATAATAATAATAACAATAGGGGGTTGAAAATCGAAATACACCTTTTTTTTAGATAAATGAAGTAGAGAGAACTATAGAATTTAATCGAGAAAATTGTTTCCATTGAAAACAGTACTAGGAAATGAAGAAAACGTAAAAGTAAAAGCATGCAATACTAAGGTTCATATAGGGTGTGGGTGTGGGTGTGTTAATAATTGAATTTTTTGGAATTTAAGCAAAACTACGACGCGTTTCGTCCTTGCTGAAGGGGCTCATCAGGTATGTCTACAATCTATAAGTACATAAATTCAAAACTCTCCAAATTTTTGAAGAAGTTTTTGAATAAATGCGTACAGACGATTTCCCTAATTCTGCGGAAAGCTTTTTTTTATTTTTTATTTTTACCAGTACGAAACCATTTTACATCCGATCACAGATATTTTTATAAATCTGGATTCTCTGGATTCTCCTTTTTCAAATGATATATTTTTGGTCTTTTGTTTCTCATATTTTCATATTAAAATAATCGGTCTACAAAAATGAACTTCACTTGATAGAATTAGGGTGTAATTCCCTAATTCTGTCGGCCAGCAGAAAAATGTCCCTAATTCTGCGTCTTCTAATAAAATACATAGAAAAAGTTAACTTTGGAGAAAAAAGTATTTTTTAATATTTTTCGAGAGAGATGGAGGGGAGGTATGTTAGACATTTTTATAGAGCGGATCAAACTCTACTATAATCCAAAGGTTCAACAGAATTGTATCTTCTTTGATTGAGATATGCACCGTGAAAGGAAGATGTCTGAAGGTAGTGGAAAACAAGTTGTCCCTAATTCTGCAATCCAGCAATTTCTTGTCCCTAATTCTGCCATTCAGCCATTTTTTGTCCCTAATTCTGCGGATAGTAGTTTTATACCTAATATGAAATTTTAGTCATTTTTTGTCCCTAGTTCTGAGGATAACTGATTTTTTTGTCTTACATGATAATAATCAGCTATTTTTGTGATGATACT